TTTGAGCAATACACCCGCAATCAGGTATGGTGAAACTAACAAAAAATTGTCCATTTAGTCATTCATTCTTCCTGTTCTATTTTCCCCCCATTTTCCTTTCATCAATCTGTAACCCTAACCACATTTTAGGATTGTTTTTGCGTTGACATCATGCTTGTCCTCAAGCCCGTGTGAAATATGTTCGAAAAGAATTAGATACTCAACGACTCACTCGATCTATGTAGATATATGACCAGATTGGAATTCAGTTTGTTGTTAACGGATATCTATCCCTTAAAGACAGCATGCGGTGAAGTAAGGCCTCTGCTAACATTTTCGGCTACAAGAATCTAATTTATCCCGTGATATTTAGCGATGTCATTGATAAATCCCTCCTTGAAGATCGTAACGATTAGCGATTCGCCCAGATACGCCTCTGCAACTGTATGTTGTGGAGTAAGACAGTAATTGTGTTCACAAAAGAATCAGTCATGCATTGAAAAGAGTTTGTATGGGAAAATCCGTCCGATTCCGCTGTTTTTTCTCAGTTCGGAAATTGAATGTAAGATGGTGCTTCTGATTCCGTTGGGAGTTCATATGGCACCGTCCATGAAGCTTCAGATTCAATGGTGATCTGGCCTGTGTTACGTCAGTTGAACTGTTCTTGCTTCAAACAGTGAACCAATGAGTGCATCTGTTGACGTATTCACTACCTTTTCGTGGACAAGAAGCTTTCCACAGGTGAGTGTGAAAAAGCTAGCAGTGAGCAGTCGCCACTAATTTGTCGCCCAGGGGTACTCAACTTCTTCAACTTCAACTGTGGCACAGATTTAGTCAAGTACATCCTTCACAAAACCAATAGGACCTCTTGCATAAGGCTAGTCAGAAAGTAGGTCATCCGTCTTCGAACTAGATGTGCACGATCAGGAAGAGACTACAGTTTGAGGTCCTGTGACCCAACCAGCTGCCTAGTTAAGCCGAAGATCCAATTGTCTAGAGGGTTGAAGAGTACATTTTAGACTTTGTCCCACCCCCTACTCCCTCGGGTTGGGGGTTTGATGCGAGTTAGTATTTCAATCGGTAAAGAGGTGGAGTAGTTAATCCAAGCAGATGGGCCTCCGCTCAACCTCAAATATCGCCTAGCGGTAAACTTTTTGTCAGAATTGAAGGTTTTGGACGGGAAGCCTAATCGTTCTCCTGGACAGCCTAGCAGTACCCGTCCACCAAACTCTAGTGCATATACAAATCATGCATAATTTCATACTACATCGGTCGGTGTGCAGGATAATCATGCTGTCCATTCCATTAAGTGGGGTGGGTAGTGATTAGTGTGCTACTTATCAGATACACCCACCTTTGTATAATACTTTATTTTTATCCCCAGCAACTTCTCTTTTCCCTACTTTCTACTACGAGGCATTCGCTTAGACAACTCTTTTGTCACTCGCCAAAAGCCGTTGCAAAATAGAGTTTTCACAAGTGAATGACAGCGTTGATTGCAGCTACCGAAGCCTCGACAAGCTCTGAAGATGAGTCTTGAACGTAAGGAACCTCATGTAAGCGGACCAACAAGCTAGTCTGGCGCGTAAAGTTGGCTGTTTATGGGGTGATGTCTGCTGCGTAACGAATAAATGAATGCAGGAACCTAGTATTCTAAGTCACTTATCTGCATCGGGTCTGTTCTCGTGGTATTTATTTCGACTATAAAGAAACGGTTAGGCCCGATCACTAGGTTAGCACAGAGTAGGAATCGCACTGAACGAAGGAGCTGAAGCCTCAATGATATATTGGATACTCGGCAATGGTCGTTTATGTGCAATGAGGCTTCCGGGTGCAGTTAGTGTTCAGAAGGGAGGCAACCCCAAGGAGTCGTTCATCAATTCTGCATTTGAGAAACCATCTACAGCAAACTTATGAAAAGTCCTCCAACGGAGACTCATCGGGTATCTAAATGTACTGGTAGGTGCTTTTGACATGCAGTTTGGAAAACAGAGCGCATCCGAAACCTATCTAGGAGGAACGTTAGCTCTGTCCGTTGAGGGAACATACAACGGTGATCGATCTATTTGGTCCTGTGCATTTGTTCTTGTCTAGCACTAACCTTCAACACAACTCCCAAAGGACAACAACATGGTGTTCTAGCTCAACGGACTAGTTGACCTATCAATGTTTTTAAAGCATTGCTTGTGCGTGGTGGGAACACCGGACAAGCAATGATGAGGGTTGTCGTTCTTTGTCGGGTGCTGATCGTCTACTTTCTAGGTCGTCTTGCGTTTGCGTATTCATCAATTACCTTTTATTGTTCTCTTTGCCCATGTTAGACAAGGCTGGAAAAAGCAACGCGTTTGTAAGACCATGAACTAGCGTTAGGGTACGAGGAAATCAGCTTAGGCACTGGCTTTGGTTGGTGGAGCTTACCTTCCAGGTTGCGGCCCCAGGTGTGCGACTTGCCACTGCCCAGTGACACT